TAGAAACGTGATCTTGCTAAAATATTACTTATATTTTTGGGCACTGAGTTGTTAAAAAAATACATTTTTCTTGTGTGTATTCCAGATATAAAATATCTAAAATAACTCGCAGAGAACAAAATCCGCTTTTTTCTGAAATGCTTTTAAATGCCTAGTAATTTGTAGTAAAGTAATTAATTATGATATGAAACTTTATAAGTTTAAAAAAAAGGACTTCATCTTCTTGCTTGTGTTTGTATTGTTTTTTATTTCATAGAATAGGGTTTGTTTGTTTTAAATTTCTCGTAAAGCTACACGAGGGAAGGCAGCTAGTCATCACCACCAACCGCCAACTCTTGGACTACTCTTTTACCAACGAATAGTGGGATTGACCGTCACATTATAACGCCCCTATGGCTGAAAGGGCGAGCATGTTTGGTGTGACGGATATTCGAATTCGCGACCCTCAGATTGAGAGTCGAGCGCCCTAACCACCTGGCCATGCCGGGTCTCGTAGAATAGGGATTATATGTTTTGTATAAAATATGTTTTGTTTTAAATAGCTTAACTTTTATTGGTACTAAAATATTGCCTCAGACATGGAAAAATAACTTGAAATTAAGAACTTTACCTATATTACAATTTAACATTTTTATATTCATTTTCATGGGTCAGAAAGCTTGAAACCAAAGAGCTTTTTCTTAATATTAAAAGTACGTGCGTTTCTGTGTCACATTTATTGAAGAATGTTGATGAATATCAAGATTTTAGGTTTTAATTATACAAATTTAATAACTTAACTCCATGTAAGCAGCGCTTCATAGCTGCATATAATGTTTTCATCAGATAGATCGTTTTAGTTTAGTAAGTTTAGAAAATAGAAGTTATCTACAAACCTTTTCACTTTTCCTCTTCTTAAACAAAGTAAATCGAAAGTTTTTTTAAATATTAAACCAATAAGACTATTTTCAGGTTATTATACAATTGAGCATTTAGTTAAAACAAGGTTAGATATTTATATTGTGTGTCTTTTTTGGAATAACGTTATCATAATCATCTGATGGCAAACGTACAGTCGACCAGTTTCACATTATTATATTTCAGATGCGATTCACAAAGAAAGTATCTATGTGGCCTGTTGGTTTGGTAGGAAAATACGGCATTTCAAGCCCTGTTATCAAGAATGGCAAACTTATAGGTTTCCACGACTTTCGTATGAAATATCGGAGATTTCCTGTTGATTACGCGTCTTTCGCTGTATCGGTCAGATTGATTCGTGAAAAGCAATACATTAACTTAGGTTGTCAGAAAGGATCGAATGAGGATTCTTATCTTAACAGCTTGGATTTATCACTGGACGACTTGGAACCAAGAGCTGATAACTGTACTAAGGTATGCATTTCGCTTAACAGTTTCGAAATTCCTTTATCGACCATTCAATATGGTACAAAGTATTTATATACGAATTTACAAGTGTTATTTTTAAAATCAGTGGATGATTGATATTATAACATAAGTTTCTTTAACAAAGTAGATATTTCTGATATTTATATTCAATAGTAACTTTATATTAGTTTATGTGTTTCTTCATTAAGTTAGATGTTAGAAAGGTTAAATATCTTACTGCATAAGTTTTGGATTCATGTCAGGACTCCGTCTGTTTAGTATTAATGTTTAGATGATTTTGTTATTCCAGCAAACCAATATTGTGTTTATGATGCTTCACGTAGTTATGGTCTTGTACAGCTCATTAGTGAACTTGTCTTATTTCACGAATTACTTTACCATGTATGTTTTCCTGTCACCAATTAGTCTGCTACAGAAGGTTATGTATGTTGGATTAAAATGATTTTGAGCCTCACCCCGTTGTTACAGACCATATCGCCATCTCCGGCTATGCTCTATCTGACATTTGTGCAAGTTCAATAGATGTGCAGTATAGTTTCCATTGCAAAAGGCTCTGTCATGAGACTTTCATGCCCAAAGCTCAGCACCCTTCCCTGCCTGTATTTTTATAATCCATCTAGTTTAGGAACAATCTAATCCCACAGAAATCCATAGGGGCTGCATCGAACAGCTTAACTAGTGTGTTTTTGTATGAAATAGCATGAATACCCATTCTTCAGCTGCACTTTGGCATGCAATGGCTGAATGAGGGAGGGGGGGGGTGACTGGAAGCCTTATCTTGGTGAAGCCATATTAGGAACAGATGACGAGTGAGCAATGTGTTGAATAGCGCTATTTTCTAGCTGGTGAGAGGTCTATCTTAGAACCAAATTTTGAGCTAGACTGACAGAATTAACATTTATATACATTTAATAAGGTAAATTCTACTAGAGTGCTCTTGCCAGCTGTGTCCTTGGAATTCTCATAAGATAAAATTGGTAAGATACACCTTTTAAGTATTTTTTAACTTCTAGAGAAATGATACCATTATAAAACACTCAATTACAAGACTATGGAACTCAACAGTGACACTTTCAATGGGAAAGTTTAGTAATACCAAAGGATAATAGTCTTCACAATGTGTAACTATCTCAAGAATAAAATCGGAACATATTATAGATGATTTAACTGCACGTTGAACACAAATGTGTATAAGTATGAAAATTGTTTTAAAAATTTTGTGAAGAAAAACGTTTCACTTTTTTAAGCTCAAAAAAATAAAACGCAGTATTTTTCAAATATCACACACATATCTGCGTAAACAGATAGTAAATGTGGCGAAAATATACCACACATCAGATTTAACGTGTATTCAAACAATTAATATGGTTAAATGAAATTAAGAACCAAATATTGTACACAATCCTCATATCAAACTCTCCTTCACCATTTTCTTCCAGGAAATCGCTCTTAATGACACAATGACAGCAACATTTACAAAAAAGAAAATATTGATGTTAAGTAAAACTAATGAACTGAAGTTGGCATTGCAGCCAGTGGAAATTATTTATAGATTTTGAGTTTTATTAATAATATAGAAACCAGTAGATAAACATATATATTTAATAAGGAAGAAGATTAACGCTACTTAACCCTATCCAGACAGGAAAGCACCTATGAAATGTCAATATTTTAAATAAATATAAAATCTCTAACTGTAGTTCTATAGTTTCAACTGTAAAAAATTGGAATAAATATTTGTCATTTTGCAACATTTATCTAGTTTGATTTGTGAAAGAAAAAAGAAATACAACGTTTATACGTACATTTCTGCACAACTCCAAGGAGTCTTGCCTGTAAACAACACATTTGTTGATTTATTTTTAAACTTTTCTGTCAATTCAAAAGAATGGATTTATATTTTGTAAGAAACTAACTTTAGAATATACTTATCCACCTTAATAGTAGATAAATACAGTAAGAGATTATTTCTACTGTTATGCAACAAACTCTAATTTATATTGATACACGTTTGTGAATATTTTATAATAGGGGAACCGAACTTTGTTTTAAAATACTTATCTATAGCTTATTTCTCACGCAATTTCCCTTCAATTTCACTGATTTGATAGTACAGCCTCTCGTTTCCACCATTTTATCATCTCTCATCATGTGGTCTCATCAGCTACTGATGAAGCTCAACTTAGGAAGTAGTTACAGGAAAAGTTTAAATATATTTTGATAAGGCAGATTACAAACCATTTAGTACAATATAGAAAGTCAATTGATATGATTAAATATTTATGATTTCTTTGGAAAGTGTTTAACTGTCAGACAAAACTTTGGTAAGATGTCTAAAAGGGCTACGAGAGAGGTTATGTTGCTCTCTTCAATCTGTTAGGAAAGTGCAACCAGGGTATATCCTCATTGAAATATTTAAACGTAAGGATGTGAGCCTATTTTGGGATTAAACTCTTAGGGGATTACAAATGAAGTCACCATTCATCACACCCTGAACTTCTCTATGAGAATAGATGCAGGACAAAGGCATTACAGCTGTTATGCAGCTATCTGTACATAAAAATGGGAAATGTCAGCTTACCATATTTCTGTTTGTAGTTTTCTTTTCCCAACCTTCCATGTAATATCAACATGAGGTAATTAGATTGTCCTTTGTTGCCATGTGTTCCAAATCTGCTGAGACATTTCAACTGCCAGCAACTTGGCCATTCAAATACTTCCTTTCATGGTTTTGTCACCTATCCCTGCCCGTTGTGAGTGTTCACAATATTGATAGTATACGTTTGGGTTACAGATGTTTCTAGATTCTGCCCAACACTTTGACAAGCTTTTATATGTGAATTAATGTGTCCCTATTTTTCTTAATATTTTACCCAACATTTAACGTATTTTAAACGTGATAATCTAGTACCATCAAAGTGTGTTGCTTTTTCAATTTATTCTGTTTCACGAACTTAATCCTTACTGTCATTTTTAGTTTTTCTAATGCAGCGTCATTAGAATCTAAGCGTGTTTTTCGTATATCACGTTTATTGTTGTCATAGTTTCAAATTTACTCCCATTCTTAAACTCGTTATTATTAGTCGCACTCAGACATTCTTAAGTATAATAAATATAACTAAACTTCATTCTGTAGAAACTTACCCTCGGAAACATTTTGCCATAAGCATTGTTATCTTTGGTACTTAACAATAGATAGTTCTTATATTTGTTTGGAAAGTTATGTTATAGACAGCCAATAAACATGCCGTTAGTTGCGTATGTTGCTTTAAAATATTATATTCACTCAATGCATTCAGTAAAAATTCATTATTACATGTAAAGTAATGATCACATTTATTCCCTAGTTTATGTGTTTTGTTCAGTTCTAAAATATTACTATCATTGCCTCAGCGATATCTTTTTTTACTAAACAGGTGTACAAAAAGTGAGTGTATTAATGTTTATTTTCTTCCCTTATTTAGATAATTTATTTGATGTCAAAGGATAGAAAAAGTTGATGGCCTATAATGATAAAATGGTTTACGTTCCAAACACGCTCGGAGTAAAAGGCTATAACGAGAAAATCTTAGAAATATTGAACAGTGTACATTTTTAATAACGTCTTAAGTGAAAGAAAACACATAAGTATAAGGATACACATCACTAATATGGGTAAAGGCTGGACCTTTAGAGATCTGATTTTTCCTTTACAGGTTCTCGTGTGGCACACGAAAACACAGAAAGCACCCCCGGTTCAGAAGAAGAATTTATTAAGAGCAAAGGGAATTCGGAAACGTATCCGAGCAGTTGGACAAACCAACTTACCACGCTTATATGAAAATCTTTTAAAAAGTGATAGTTGATAAATTTACCTTTGTGAGAATATAACCAGAACAATCATGCATTTATTGTTACTTCTTATTCGATTCTTAAAGTAATTTATAAATTATATTTTATTTTAATTAAAAAAATAACAACAGAAGCTTAGAATAGCAGTGACTTAGTACTTGGTAATTATAATGATGAAAGGTTGAGAAATAGAATTGTTGAAAATTTTAAAGAACATTTAAGTTGTTGATTAAAAAAATCTAGACTAATTGTAACATTTTAACAGTATGAACTAAATAGATCAGTTTATTCATTTCGGTTTTCAACATGATGAAAACGTTTATAATAATTTATGCACACTAACACCATAACACCATAATACAGGCAGTCTAGAACCTCTTTGTGTCATAAAATCCTTCTACTTATAGTTATTCGTACTAATGTATTTGCGAAATGAACTTATTATAAACGAAGCGACTGTGCTAGGTCAAAAAGTAAATTTCTTTGTTAGTAATATCGCTCTATAATACATGAAATTCTGTAAAGTAACGATATCTCTGTGTTTGTACATTTATGGCCACTGAGGCAAATAAGTAAAGTCATAAGTCACATCGTGTTACACTATAATATTTTCTATTACAAATATCTGGTTTTTTGGGGTTCAGGTAGCATGTATATATATATATATATTGCTATTTTTAAAGACGATTGTTAAAATAACGTAAACAGAAATCGAATGTACGTTCCATTTTACAGTAGCTTTTATAAAGTTTTATGTTTGATGCACCACATAGCCTGGTAAAATATTAATAAAACAAAGTAATTTTGGTAATACTAATACTGTTATTAAGAAAACAATAAATGATTAATAAATATGTAATCTTCAATTGTTTTAAGTTTTGAAAGCAAATCATTTTCAATACCCACAAATTTGTCTTTATACGTTGCGTACAAATAATACGTTTAAACTGTGTATATTAAAATATAAAAAAACAAGTTTTCTCTTCAATGTTGCTGTTATATTGATTTCAATCTTTTGGTCACAGCATCACGAAACAACTGTTTTAAGGTGTTGTGTATAGACTAAATGATACTGACAGTCAATCACTTAAGAATATACAGATTTTAAGAATAAATAAAATGTCATATAAGTCATGTGACATTTACTATTATTATAACAACTTGAACATCAGGCAACAAAACTTAATTAATGTGATATTATGTCACACTAAAAAACAATTGTTTCAATCAACTCTTTTTTTTTGCCAGTCCTAGAGTGTATCCAATAGGTCAATTTTTCTGATAAAAAATAATTTAGACTGTAGATGTATTTCTGCCATATTATTATTAATTCGTCAATTCTTATTATTTCAAATACGAAATGTGTAAAAATAGCATTCGTATCTATATTCTGACTCTTTTATTGCAAATATAAATAGCGTTTCAGATATTTCTTGTCTCTCATCCTCTAGATGACAAGTTTTGGTATTATTGGAAAGACCTCTTAGGCGGTCATTTGTGGGAGGTATACATACACGTTGAATGAACATATTTCCTACTCAAATCTTTCCTAAACACATGATGGATGAAGATATATTTTACTCTTTCTTCTTTTCTGGAATCAACAAATCAGGGATGAGAATCTCTCGTTCTTGAATTTAGTTCACAGAATGATATAACTGAGAAATTAGAATATTTTTGTTTTAATAAGTTGCTCTTAGATCGTCATTTCTGAAGTTATTTATGAGATACAACATTACAATAAGATATTTCCGGTTTCAGCTTCTCTTATGTTTTCGTAACGCTAATACAAGAAAAATTAAATAAATTATTGTTAAAATTATTGTATTGTTCATAAAATAAATTAACGTATAGATCTCCAAAAGTAGTGTTAACATTTTGAAAATTTCTCTAGTGAAATATACCATATTTGAAAATTAAATGGCTATTTAGTTTAAATTATCTATTAGAAGATGCACAATAACTGAGGTAGTTGAGGAAAACTGAAGAATGGCTTATATAAAATTATCAATACAACAAATAAGAATATTTATTAAATTCAAAGCTAATCGTGGGACATATATTTGCGCAAATTACCATAACATGTATTGTATATATATGAAAAAAATCATACAATCATTGAGTAAAATTTGTAAAATAATGGATTAGAACCGAGTACAGTTGATTAAGAAGTGTTGCAGTTACACAACTTACAAGTTGTCGCGGTTTTCTTATTTTATTCAATTACACAGACTGCACACACTAAACACTGATTCAATATACAATCGTATGTACCAAAAAGTTTGAGTTCTTAATCTTTTATAGATTAGCTTAAGAGAAAGGTTACGTTTGAAATACTGTCAATGAAAATATTTGTGGAAACAATTCTTTTTGTCTGAATAATTTATCTTGCGTTGTCGATATTCACAGTGTAAATCATCTACTAACCTAGGTACAGTTTTCAAATTAATAGAAATAAAGCAATATAAAGTTAATAGCCCGGCATGGCCAGGTGGTTAAGGCGTTCGAATCCCTGTCCCACCAAACATGCTCGCCC